TGGACGGACCTGGACCTGGACCTGAAGCATCCACAGAAGCATAGCCCAAGATGAGAGATGATTGGGATAGTTCTCTGGACAGTGATGTGGCATCAGAAGTTCAGAACTCTCAAGTTCATGTCCCTGTTCAACAGCGACTTCCCTGACTTTGATCCATCTATTTCCTTGACCATTCCAGCAAGTCAAATGAAGAGATAAGAGTCATCCTGAAGAAACGTCATTCGGCTGTAACTATATGCATGAGGGACCTACCGATTGATCAATTGTTTCAAGCACTGCCGAATGTTTCTTGGGCAAATACTACGGACACTTGTTTTGGCAATATATTCAAGGCAAATGTCATTTCTCATAGAAAAGTCCAATTAGAAGTGCTCCTCTGCAGCATAACAATTTTTAAAAATTCAAAATCGGCAGATAAGTATTCCAAAATGTCACACCAGTTGCACTGTGAAATTATGACTAAAGACCAGTTCTTTATCATGCAACAAACTAGTAGTCAGGCTATGCTCATCCAAACTCTAAAGCTCAGACCATCTCTCCAAGACTGCAACAATGGATGCTCCATTTCTTACTACTTCCCTTGCTGTTCTGGCCATCCTCTTTTTGCTTGCTCTACCATGGAGTGCTGCAACTCATGATATTCTACCACTGAAATCCTCTCTATTTGTTGAAGAGTATGAAACCAACATCCTGCAGTCATCTGATGGCACATTCTCATGTGGCTTCTACAACATCACTAAAGCCTACAACATCACTAGCGCCTTCACCTTCTCAATTTGGTACTCCAATTCAGCTGACAAGGCCATCGTATGGAGCGCAAACCGTGGCCGTCCCGTGCACTCAAGGAGATCAGAGATCACTCTGCGCAAGGATGGAAACATAGTCCTCACTGACTATGACGGCACAGTCGTGTGGCAAACTGACGGTAAATTCCCTAATGTTCGATATGTTCAATTATTGAACACTGGTAACCTTGTCTTGAAAAACTCCAGTGAAAACATTGTTTGGCAAAGTTTCGATTCACCGACAGACACTTTGCTTCCTACTCAACGCATTCTCGCTACAACAAAGTTAGTCTCTACCACTGGGTTACAGGTTCCTGGTCACTATTCCTTCCGTTTCAGCGATCAGTAGATATTGTCACTTATATATGATGACGCTAATGTTTCCGGTGTATACTGGCCAGATCCTGATTACCTGTACTATGAGAATAATAGGAACCTTTATAACAGTACAAGGATAGGTAGTCTTGATGATTATGGAGAATTTTTTTCGAGTGATCTTGCTAAGCATCAAGCCCGTGTTGCCTCTGATAGAAGTTTGGGGATTAAAAGGAGGCTTACCTTGGATTATGATGGTAATCTTAGACTCTATAGCTTGAATAACTCAGATGGAACATGGACAATTTCATGGATTGCTCAACCTCAAACATGCATGACTCATGGTTTGTGTGGTCCATATGGAATCTGCCACTATTCACCTACACCAAGATGTTCATGCCCACCTGGTTATAAGATGAGGAATCCGGGTAACTGGACACAAGGTTGCAAGCCTATTGTCGAAATTGCATGCGATGGTAAACAGAATGTAACATTTTTGCAACTTCGAAACACTGATTTTTGGGGTTCTGATCAACAACATATTGAAAAGGTACCCTGGGAGGTGTGTTGGAACACTTGCATAAGTGATTGCACATGTAAGGAATTTCAGTACCAAGAAGGAAATGGTACATGCTATCCAAAATCTTTTCTCTTTAATGGAAGGACTTTCCCGACACCTTTTGTGCGAACGATGTATATCAAACTTCCTTCAAGTTTGGATGTTTCTAAAAAACCCATTCCACAGTCTAGTATACATGATTATACACCAAGTAGACTTGACTGTGATCGTGTAAACACAATAACCACAGAGGCAGTTCGTAACATGAATAAGATTGGTGGGGAGGAACCAAAATGGTTCTACTTCTATGGGTTTATCGGTGTGTTTTTCATTGTTGAGGTTTTCTTCTTCGCATTTGCATGGTTCCTTGTCTTGAGGAAGGAGATGTGGTCATCTGAAGTATGGGCAGCTGAGGAAGGCTACAGGGTGATGACTAGTCATTTTCGAATGTATAGTTATAGAGAGCTGGTTAAGGCAACTGAAAGGTTTAAACATGAGCTTGGATGGGGAGGTTCAGGAGTCGTCTATAAGGGAATATTGGATGACGATCGAGCAGTGGTCATAAAAAAGTTGGAAAATGTCACGCGAAATAGGGAGGAGTTTCAGGATGAGTTGCATGTTATTTCAAGAATCAACCATATGAACCTAGTAAGAATTTATTGTTTTTGCTCAGAAAGATTCCATAGGTTGCTGGTCTTAGAGTATGTTGAGAATGGATCATTGGCTAATGTACTGTTCAACAGTAAAATCTTGTTAGATTGGAAGCAAAGGTTTAATATTGCTTTAGGCGTTGCAAAGGGACTGGCTTATCTTCACCATGAGTGCCTAGAGTGGGTCATTCACTGCAACCTAAAGCCAGAGAACATTTTGCTGGATGAGAACTTAGAACCTAAGATCGCTGACTTTGGGTTGGCAAAGCTGCTTAGTAGATCTGGCTCTAAGCAGAATGTTTCACGAGCACGAGGGACCATAGGTTACATTGCTCCAGAATGGATATCTGGTTTACCAATAACAGCAAAGGTTGATGTATATAGTTATGGAGTCGTTCTTCTTGAGCTAGTGTCAGGAAAACGAGTCTTTGATCTGATCATAGGAGAGGATAAGACGAAGGTGCATGAGATGCTCAAGAAGTTTATTAAGATGATTTGTTATAGATTGGACAATGAGAAATCATTGTGGTTAGCAGAGTTCGTAGATTTCAGAGTGGGTGATGAATTCAACTACTTGCAAGCAAAAACTTTGGTAAAGTTGGCTGTGTCCTGCTTGGAAGAAGATAGGAAGAAAAGGCCAACAATGGAATCAATAGTCGAGAGCCTCCTTTCAGTTGATTTAGCTAGAAGTTAATAAAATAATAATGTACCAAGGGAGAATATTTATAATATGGAGTCCCTTAGTGGTATGTTATTGCTAGGACTATACTAATTCTAGAAGTCTTCATTTCCTAGGATCACCGTAATGTATATAAAGTTCTATATAATTGTGTGTCTTACTTATATCTTGTAAATTTTTCATGTTATTTAGTAATGGTCTAATGGAATGGTGGTGGTATATTTTTCTAGTTTTTTTTATATTGGCAAAGTAATGCACATTTTGAGGTTGCAGTTTTCTGAATTGACCTTTGATCAAATTTCTGCTCAGTAAATTTAGTTGGATCATGTTAGTCTATTTTCCTTGATATGCATATCCCATAACATTATCTATTTTAATCACATATACAATTTTGTGTGGAAGAAAGTCCCAAATACTGTGATAATTACCAAACATGTATTGCAAAAGGTACTCACATGTACCCGGCAGAGAATCTAAGAAGTTCTCAAATGCTTACTCTGAAAATCCCATCAAAGAGGAGGTCTTAGTTTGGAGAGCCGGGGAATTTTCCAGTTTTGTTAGGAGTAGGCATGCGCACCTCTTTTTCTCTCTGTTTGTCCCCCCCCCCCACCCCCCACCCCGCCCTCTCTCTCTCTCTCTCTCTCTCACAGTTCCGGGGCTACCGAACCGGCAAAAAAAAAATCCCATGCATTTTTTCTTTTTTTCTTTCAGCAAATAATAATTTGGCCAGTTCTATATTACTAAAAAAGATATTCATTGTCAATGCTCAAGTCACTCAGATATCATTTCATGTTGTATGGAACATTGATCGCAACATCCAGGTATCAAAAAGATATATCCTGGTCAGTAAGATAGCAGTTTGTATAATCAGCTTCTATTGACAGCAGCTATCATGCCATAGGCTATTTAATCAACACAATTATGAATTGGAGGATTCCCATTGCTTCAAAAAAAGGTGTAAATGATGGCAATTTGGGCAAAAACTTCTAACTATTCTTCATCATGTAAAGTTGTAAACAGTAAGGTGTATGCTGAATTTATATGTCCATACCTAATCTATTTTGTTGTTCTATACTTGTATGCTCTATTTTGTTGTTAATAAATTTTATTTTTTAAAAAAATCAGTGCCTAGAAAGCAAAAACGACTTAAACATCAAAATAACAGCTCAACGACGACCATTCTACCTGATCCTGCTCCTCAAGGCTGCACAGCAAATAAAATAAAGGTCAGTTCCTTATTAATTACTTCATTTGATTGTGCAAATGCAGAGTAGAACCATCATCTGCTAGCTGTATATGTCCCCACCATGATTGCTAGGTTTTTATCTGGTCTTGTTGTTTTCATTGATCTGTCCTAGATAAATCACTTTCCAAAAGGACTTTTAGTTGAGCTCGATCAGGGGTAAGGTAAAGTCTACCTTGGAATGCCTATCTTCATACTGTTGTATACAACCCATGCTTCTTAGAATTGCAATGTGCTGGAGAAAAATCTGACACGTTGAACCTTCAGTAACACAAGCAATGGTGTGAAAAATCTGAGGAAATATAATGGTCTTTTTTCAACAATAACCTTTCCTACTAACTATAAGATTGAGAGTTTTCCTTGACCAGTTCATTCTCGTAGCAAAGTACAACTGCAAGTACTCTTCATCAGGGCAACTTTAAAGAAGTCAGAAACTGCAGAGTACTCAGCTGTCACACAATTTGAATGTAAATTTTAGACTAAGACCAATAATCTATCAGATTTTCATGCACGATTCACTGGAGAACCTGAAATAAAGCAGTACTAGTCTATATTCATCTGAAAGAAGAGGGAATGAGTTGCATCAGCAACAATAAGTCTCAAGAAAGGAAGCAATGGCGTCTGATTTTCCAATCCAATTAAGATGAGAGAACCACAATTAATCCTAAAGGAAGAAAAAGAGCGGATACAACATGCTTACTAGTGCCAGGAAAAAAAAAACAGGAATGCTGAACTGAAGTTGATCGGCGATTTTAATGAGATCGGTGCAGAATAAAACAAACTTTTGTTCATCAAAATTTTTGCTGTATTACATAACTGTATTATAGATGCACTTGGCATCTTCCTGCTTTCTCCACTGTTTGCAATAGATGAGGAATGAATGCAAGAAATGCAACAATCTCTGTATCCAGTGATTCTGGATTGTTGTATACAAATGTGTGTATGCAAGAAAGCTGTGTTCTAGATCAATGTGTCTGTGGATTAAGTAAGTAATTGATTGTATTTGTTTTTGCACAAAAAATGAGTATCAGTGGCGGTTCTCTGCCCTAACAGGGACTGATGATCCCCACACGGAATTGTCTGATGGTGCTTGAGGGCCATTAGTGCCAGTTCCAAAACCGTCAAAACCGAGAGTTATAGCCCTTCTGAACCGGCACTGATGAGAGGTCTGGGGTGTTTATCAAGTTGTCTATGAGAACCTGCAGTTTCTTACAATCTTCCAACTAACAAAGTTTGGTACCCAGTCATATTATCTTATATACAAAGGGTGGAACAGATGAGGAGTGAACCTCGTATTAAGTTTCACATACTTATTTCGGAACCCTCAGGATTAGGTAAAGGCATGAGCTTCATCTTCAGCAGAAATGAGCATTTGCACTATGTACTTCATGCTTGGCCTCCTGTTTCTATCTTCTTCCAGGCATGAAATGGCCAATTTTATAACTAGCTGAGCCTGCAAATGATTAAATTCACCACCAAATTGATCATCAATTAAGTCCATAATCCATGATTCATTCTTGCTGTCCAGTTTGTCAACAACCATCTTAACCACGCTTCTCACATCAGTTTCTACTCCATCTTTCCCATCCACTACCCATTCTGTAATCCTCCTCCCTTTCACCAGCTCAAGAAGAACAACTCCATAACTATACACATCAACCTTCTCGGTGATGGGAAGGCTAGAAACCCACTCGGGAGCCATATATCCTCTCGTCCCCCGAATCCGTGACATTTCAGAACCAGACCCATCTCTGTTCAACAACTTGGACAAGCCAAAGTCAGTGATTTTAGGCTCCATATCTTCATCCAACAATATGTTCTCGGGCTTCATGTCACAATGGATGATCCACTCTAGGCATTCATTGTGAAGATATGCCAACCCCTTGGCCACACCTAGAGCAATGTTGAACCTTTGCTTCCATCCAAGAAACTTGCTGGAATCTCTCCTATCAAATAGTACTTTGGCCAATGATCCATTCTCAATGTACTCATAGACTAAAATCCTATGTGTTCCTTCCGAGCAAAATCCCCACATTCTCACAAGATTCATATGATAAATCCTACCAATCACACTCAACTCGGCTTGGAAAACATCCTCACTCTGGCTCACATCTTGTAGCACCTTGACGGCCACTACCCTCTCATCGTCTAAACTCCCCTTGTATACTATACCTGATCCACCATGACCGATCTTGTTGTTGAACTTTTTAGTTCCCCTCTCCAACTCCGAGTACCTATATGCGCGAAAATGGCTAGTAACAATCCTGTACCCTTCTTCTAGTACCGAAACCTGGCTTGGCCTGAAAACTCCCTTGTTGGAAAAGATCCAGCAACCCATCGCGATCAGAAACACCTCAATGACAAAAATTGCAGACAGGAATCCATAGAAGTAGAACCATATTGACTTGCCCTGATTATTGCTCGAGCTCGACGACATATCGGAAACATCGAGCAAGAACTCTGATGAGCTTGAGCCACTACATCCAGCAATGTCTTCCTCAATGGCAAGGCCATTCGTCTGCCATTGGTGGACGTGCAACTCTGGCATGTCGAGATCAGCTGGGACCTTGAGATAGGCCGTCCCAAGATGGGCAGGGTGTGTTCTGCCATTGAACATGAGGCCCTTGGTGTAGCACTCTCCTGTGCCCTGCTTGTACTCGAACACCACGCACGACGGCTCGCTCATGCACCGCGCCGTGCACTCGTGCAGCGACAGGTGCGCGCTGCTGTTGATGTCGAAGCCCCAGAAGTCGGTGTGCGGCAGCGCCACCAGCTTCATCGCCCGCGGCCGGCCGCCGCCGCCGTCGGTGTGGTTGAACGTCGGCTGGCAGCCTCTTGTCCAGTCGCTCGCGTCGGCGCGCGCGTACCCCGGCACGCAGACGCACACTGGCGCCGGCGAGTAGAGGCACACGGCGTTGGCGCCGCACACGCCGTGGATGACGCACGGGTTGACGAACGCCATCCACGACACCGACCATGTCCCGGCCATCTCATCCAGGCTGTACAGCCTGAGGTTGCCGTCCGTGTCCAGCGTCAGCCTCCTCCTGACGCCGGCGCCCTCGCCGAGGTCGGCGGCGTCGAAGGTCGCATTGTCGCTGGACAAGAAATGGCCGGAGGCGTCGAAGAAAGCTTCCCGGGTGAAGTTGTAGTAGATGTTGCGGTTGTTCTGCCAGTAGCTGTAGTAGGGGTTAGGCCAGTAGATGCTGCTGGGCATCTTGTGGTTGTCGTACACCAGCGAGAGCATGGCGTAGTCGCTGAAGCGGAGGCTGTAGAAGCCGGCGGCGAGGAGCTTGCCTGCCGAGACCATCGCCTCGCCGGCGGCGACGATGCGCTGGGTGGGAAGCAGGGTGTCGGTGGGGTGATCGAAGCTCTGCCATAGGATGTTCCCGCTCGCGTCCTCGATGGCGAGGTTGCCGGAGTCGTGCAGCCGCGCGCGAGCGGCGGTGGCGTTGGCGACGGTTGAGTTCCATACCACCTCGCCGTCGTAGTCGGTGAGGACGAGCGCGCCGCGGCGGCCGTCGAGCGCAACGCGGGAGCGCGCGCCGTGGACGGGGGCGCGGCCGCGGTTGGCTGACCAGACGACGGTGCGGCCCGCGGCGCGCGCGAACCAGACGGAGAAGGTGAAGACGGTGGGCGAGACGCCGTAGAGGCCGGCGGCGAAGGTGCCGTCCGGGGAGAGCAGGACGTCGGTGGCGTGGTCCTCGACGGCGATGGAGGCGCCCCGGGGGAGGCTGTCGCGGCGCGCCTCGCACGGGAATGGACGCGACGACGAGAGGAAGACGACGACGACGAGAAGCAGCAGCACGGTGGCGGTGGCGCGGCTACAACTTTTGCCCATGGCCGTGGCGGTGAATGGGTTGATCAGAAGCGATGATTTGCTTCTGCTCACTGTTGAGGTGTTGAGTTAATTAAATTAAACAAATTAAGTAGTGTAATACAGTATGTTATTACAGTTATCTGAGAGTGATGTTGCATCGTTAACTCTTTATCAACAGCGACTGCATCTTTGTATTTGTTTGAGAGCATTCCAGCAAGCCGAGTGAAGAGATAAAGTCATGCTGAAGAATCGTCATGAGTCATGACGATGTTTTATTCATGGATAAGGACATACCGATTGGCCAATCGTTTCGAGCAAAGCCGAATGTTTTCTTTGCTAGATGCTCCCTACGTTTCATATTATAATTATTACATATTATAAGTTATTTAATTTTTTTTCTTAGTTAAAGTTTTTTAGGTTTTATCATGTTTTATAGAAAAAATTAGCAATATCTACAACACTAAATTAGCTTCATTAAATTTAATTGAATATATTTTAATAATATGTTTGTTTTGTATTGAAAATATTAGTATATTTTTCTATAAACTTAATCAAACTTAAAGAAATTTGACTAAGAAAAAAAGTTAAACAACTTATAATAATACATATGGAGTAATTTATAGAGGTTACAGAGCAAAAGCCGGCCGAAATTTAATAAGTAGGAGGGTGAAAACAGAGATTTATAGAGGTTACAGAGCAAAATGACACCTACCACCGCAAAGGACATGTACTCCAATGTAAAAAAAAAAAGACATGTTACTCCCACCGTCTACGTCCTGCTTAGCCCATCTATGTCTACGCTGGCTTTGCTAGATAATTCATTCAACGTGCTTCTCATGGGGAATGGATTATAATTTTTAGAGGGGATGTCTTTTCATGTATACTTTTTAAAAAAAATCAATGCAAATGGTTGTAAGAAAAAACTGAAAAGTTTTGATAATGTAGAGTATACTATTTGTGTATTATTTAAGCAACGAGAAGATATCATCTCGAGAGTTTAAAAGTGTTTCCCCTTTTTGTGGATGCTTGTTTTGCAACAGGAATTGCCTACAATTACTGCTACATGTTAGCTGTTGTTACGGTTGTGCACTGACTTATAGGGGATCTGTTGTTTCTTGTTTTGATCATATATTCAAGGTAAATATGTGTTTCTTATTTTGACCATATATTCAAGGTAAATGTCATTTTTTATAGCTAAGTCTAACTAGAAGTTCTTCTCTGCAAGATAACTTAGAAAAATGTCCAAATCTGCTAAGAAGTACTACCAAAGGTTACATCAACTACACTGTGAGTATCTGACTAATACCAATTCTAACATTAGCTGTCATACAAGATACTCTACATTGCAACACATGCAACAAACTAGTTCTTCCTCCGTTGTAAATTTTTAGTATATAACAACTTCTCTATCCACTATCTCATCTTGACCCATCAATGATTGTCTCTTGTTAATTTTTTCCACCACTTTCATATATCAAACAATCAAAATCATCCCTCATTTAGTTCCACCTCGCTCCTTAATTTCTGTGAAAAATCTCTAGAAGTATTCATATTTTATGATAGATGAAGTAGTCACTGGTCAAGCCATGCTAGCTCATCCTAGCATCATATTTAACTCATGGCGGTTTGTACTAAAATTTTGTAACAACTTCTATTAATTACCAGCGGCTATCATGCCCATAGGTTATTACAACATCAAACTAGCAAACAATTGTAAAGTATGTCTTCATCATATGAACAATAGAAAAGGTGTATTTGTGTATGCTCCCACAAGTATCTCCATACCTGAGGCTCTATTGTTGTTAATAGTTTGATTTTTTTATAAAAAAAAATCAGTGCCTAGACAGCGAAAACAACTTAAATATCAACATCACAGCTCGAGGATGACCATTCTTGCCTGATCCTCGCTCCTCAAGGCTGCACCGCAAACTAAGTCAGATCATCTGATTTCAACTACAGAGGAGCCACAGTGAAGTATCATTATCTGCTAGTTGTACGGGTGTTGTTGGTATCATTATCTGCTAGCTGTGCGGGTTGTTGGTATCATTGGTCTGTCCTAGGTAGATTTTCCACAAGTCTTAGGCTGCGTTCGGGAGGAGGGTTCCCCGACACGCAAAACGAAGGATGCATTACTAGATGATTAATTAAGTATTAATTATTTTTTTGAAAAATGGATTAATATGATTTTTTTTAAAACAAGTTTCGTATAGAAATTTTTTGTAAAAACACACTGTTTAGCAGTTTGAAAAATGTACGTGCGGAAAACGAGAGAGGTGAGTTGGGAAAACTAGGGAAGAACACAACCTTAAGTCTAACTAGGAATGCCTATTGTCAGACTGCTACAGCCCATGCTTCTTAGAATTGCAATGTGCTGAAGAAAAATTTGATAGGCTGAACTTTCAGTGGCAATAAGCCCCAACAAAGGAGACAAAATATGTCCAATTTCTCAAACCAATTAAGGACCAGCAATCAATCCAAAACGAAGAGAAAGAACGCATACAACACGCTCAATAAATAATAAAGACATGCAAACAAAAGGAATACTGACCTGAAAAGTATATCAACAATTGTGATGGATTAGGTGCAAATGAACTTAAGGAAAACACAGTGAACTAGGATATATTCATAAGATATTTCTTCTATGGGACAATATCTCATAGAACGAAGGGTCTGGATCTAACTGTACATGATAGCCTAGGTTCGATCATATCTAATGAAGATGAATCAGGCTTTTATTAGGGAAAAGAGAGTCAATCAGGTTTGATCAAAATAAGCAGATGGGATCTGCAACCACTGTTCATTAAGGCGCTAGGTACTATTCTGGCATCGGACAGCACCCAGCACCTAGATTCTGTTCCTATATGCTGAGTTTCTGCACCAAGATGAGCTTCTTCATGCGCTGACTTCATCCCTACCAAGGATGAACACAATCACCTATTAAAATTAATTTAAGACTTACATTCCTAGTAAAACTATGACAAATAAAAGATCACACTAAATGGAAATTGCGTTGATGTTTTGAAGACATACTTAGGACCACCTGTCGTCCATAGATTGCATGTTACTTTATGATTTATACATGTCTACGATGTTATGGAGGGACATTTGCAAATTTAAAAACAAAAGGGTAATATTTATTCTGTTGCAATTATTTTTAGTTTAGTTGTACGTGCAATATTCTCTCAAATGTTTCATCATAAAAAAAAATGTTAAGAGATAATGTGAACAGAAAGAAATAAAAGCTACCATCTCTCCTTTATTACTTGCACCAACAAAATTTACAAGATACGTTATGCAGCTACCAAATTTCTAATTGTTTATTTCTCCATTGACCAGGATAACGGCTTAACTATGTGTACGGACTCTACGGAACATGGTAACCTGCAAAAATAACAAAAGAAACATAAGTCTTTTATTCATTGCAGAACAGGGAGAACTTTATCAAAAGGTTAAATTAAAACAGATATAACTGTATGTAATCAACTAAGTTAGTATGAATTAATAACTAACCTGCGCAGTTAGTTCCTGCGTGTAACGGATTGTCACATACTTTTGCAACATTAACCCACTTTGACAAAGCAATTTTAGCCTTATCCGCTGCTGTAAATGTGCGACAGATGCAATTGACATCTGCGCTCTGCACTGTTTGGCAGCAATGTGAGTGTCTTTTTGGGAATTGGTCACCCAAATGTTTTTCAATATTGTGATAGCATCCATCCTTATTCATCACAATATTTTTCTCGTTCTCACAGCCTTCAGCTTGTAAATGGCTCGGAGAAGAAGAGATGGCTACAAAGCCAAGAATGCAAAACACTCCTACAACTTTAGCACTAATCATCTTCTTGTAGTGGATGCTAAAATTTGTGTGTTTGTTGATCAATATGTGTGCAGCATATGCAGCACAAATATCTAGATTCGGATCAAGTGCAGTCACAGTAGTGACTGCAACTTTGGCAGTACCCAATCATCCAACCATCCAGCACATGAGGGATGGTCTAGATTTAACTGTGTCATGCATCATTTTAGCTATTTGAACAAGCACAGAACAGTAGTTCAGATTTTGCCTGCAATTTCTCTCCTTTTGATCTGAATTTTCTTGAACTTTCAGAAAACCCAAATAATGTTAAAGAAAAGTAGACACAGACTTCATTTCATTATATTGAACTTCATAATATCTTGCACGCATAATTGACAAAATGAGCTAGAGTTTAACTATTTTCGCTGAAATTGGGTGTCATGCATCCACTGAGACAAAAGCTTTCAAAATCAACTAGCTATGCTACTGCTAGATTAACACAGTAACAAAAGCTTTCATAATCCAAAAGTAGATCATCATCTGCTTCCCAAATCAGCACGATGCCTTCTAAGTTCTATTGACACCTCTTCAAATGAACTTTTGAGATAAGATGACATCTTCAACGTCAATAGAACCCTAGGGAAAAAAAGATAATATCCAAATTAAAATAATTTGTTAGCACATATATTTATCTTTGAAGAAACTGGTCAGCATACCAGTAGAAGTTGGGCATAGCTGCTAATTGCTTCACATTCTTGATGTTCTTCCACATCAGTTTGCAAGTTTTCCTCCTCTGCCTTTTCTTCAGGCTGCATAACAGATTTGAGAAGTGGCTCAATATATAGTTCTCAATATATATAGCTGCATAACAGATTTGAGAAGTGGCTGAAATATATTTACCTTTCTCTTTTTTGTTTTCTGCAGTTTATCAATCCAATTTGTTTTCCGTTTTGTTACACGTTTCCGGCTCTCCTTTTTCTTCAGACCAGAGACATGTGCCAAGTTCTGAGCTAACTGGGATGTTGACTGATCATTCGACTTTGCAATGCCATCACTGTAAGTTTGTTTTATTTTGTCCTCAACTTTTTTACTAACGGCATGAAGTGCTTCTTCCACAAGCAAGTAACATTCTTCAAAGTCTACAGCTCTGGAAGCCAAAGGAAGAAATTGTTGGTACAGATATCTGTACCTAAGAGTAGTACTCAGCTTGGGGTCTTCCACTATTTGTCTGCCATGCATATCTTGAATAGCTCCACATTTTGCTTCTCGAGTCCAACGCTTCAATACATATTTTTCAGGCAACAATTTAATGTTCACTAAATCAAGAGCTTTCAAGGCATGTCTACACAGTAGACCTATTCTCTCAAACATTCGACAACTACACGACACGGTCTGATCAAAAGGGTTGGCAGTCACCTTGTGCTCATCTTCAAGTATGAACTGATCATCAAGTGAGCCAATTGCAATTATGAAATCATTACTTCCATTTGATCCTTTCGTATAGGTAGCCATGGATTTCTCATATTCAGCTTGGAAGACTTCAAATAAAGCAGGTGTGTAAAGCTTACTTGCCTGTACCAACATAGGTGTCATCATCATAATTCTTGGCAACTTTTTTCTTGACTCATATTCAGATTGCAATTCCTTCTCTCTCTTTTCTTCAACAACACGCTCTACACGATTAAGGAACCTGCCGATGTCAAGATCTGATTTCAAATGACCTTTCAAGTTACTATTCAAACTTTCACTTAATTGTGGGCTTCGCATCCCTATTGTGAAAACATCTGACATGTAGCACTCAGCCCACTTTTCTTTTAAATTGTATATGCTATCCAACCAAGTCACTTTACGCACCTTTTGTCTCATGGCATCAAATACATCTTCAAATTCTTCTTTTTCCTCATACTCATACATACATGCACTGAAATCTGCTAGGATACTTGAACCTTCTGTTTGTTGAGGACTCAAATGCTTTACTTCATTTTGTGATATGTGCCAAGTACATAAACCATGCCATGCACCAGTGAATACTTCAGACACAGCCTTTCCCATTGCAATGTCTTGGTCTGTAAAAATGGTTTGAGGTTGCTTTTGATTATGGGCTGATAAAAATGTATTGAACAACCACTTGAATGATTCAAATGTCTCATCATACATCAAAGCTGCACCAAAAACCACTGTCTCTCTAAAATGGTTGAAGCCAACAAACATACCAAAAGGTCTACTTTCTTTGTTTGTCCCGAATGTAGTGTCGAAGGTGATGACATCACCAAAGTGAGCATAATCAGCAATCATCCTAGCATCTGCCCAAAATATATTAGCTATTTGTTCTTCGCAATCCAATTGCACTGCATAGTGAAATGAGGGATTTTCCACAATTTTATCTTGGAAGTACTTTAGTAAACTTCCTGCCTCACCATAAAGTAAGTCCCTTTGGCGCCTAGAACGCAGATAATTCTTATGATCACGCTGTGTGTAACCAAGATTAGCTGACCCACCAACATGCCGACCAAGAAACTCATGTGCTGCTTTAGGTGTAATACCAGAATCATACGCCACCTCAATTTCGACTGCTTGGTGTTTAGAAATGTTCCTTTGTGATGGCATCAAATGGCTTGTTTGTGGAGTTTGAAGAAGATGGTTGTGTTCTACAGCTAAGTCATGAACCTTGTATGTCATTGTTTCCCTGAGTAAAGTGATGCCCATGCGAACTTGGCAACCAGTTCGAGTATGAGCTCGATTACGTTTTGCTACAACATATTTCTTTTCTTCTGCTCTAGAACCCTGATTTGAACAAACAAACCTACTGGATGTTACTAACTGATCAAGATCACTTTTGTTAGTGTAATTATTTCGAACATCAAAGCCAATACGACCACCATATTTGACCCAAAAATCCCAAGCTTCTTCATAGGAATTAAATGTCATGCCAATTTGAGGCATCCAACAGGGAGGTTTAGTAGATCTGTTACATTACAGTATAGAGGAATAAAAAGTTTGACGCATGAACAACACAGGAAGAAAGAAGACAAAAATCAGAAGACAAAGGATCCTATCGCGATCTGTACCTCTCCAGGTTTTGCTCCATGGCCTTCTCAACGGTCATGGCTGAACAGAGAAGAGAAAGAAGCGTGTGATGTGCTGCAGCAGTAATGGGTAAAGTATGCTTCCCATGGTAGAATTGGCGCCAATTCTCACCTCCCTCTCAGACTTTTCCCTCCAAAACACTTCTGCTGGAGTCAGAGAGTAGGTGAAAAGTTGGGGGAAATTGAGCAACCAATCTAGACCATCCCTTGTGTGCTGGATGGTTAGATGATGGGTACTGCCAAAGTTGCAGTCACTACTGTGACTGCACCTGATCCGAATCCCAAATATATAGTGGTCATGCGAAGTCCTGTGGGGTCTCTACATACTATTCACTTGTTTTTGAATATCTACTATAAAAGATATCTAATGGCTAATGTTTGAACTTATAATATCTCCAACATATCTTAAGATATATTTATTTTCCTCGGATATGTGCATTTATTTATTCTTTTTTAAGAACTGGAAGATATCTTCATTTATTAAAACTATTGATGGATTGCTTGGATATGTTCTCATTTAATAAAAATATGATATGCTAGATGGATTATTCTCATTTATTGATCTGCTACTACACAGTAATTTATTCTCATTTATTATAGAGTAAATTTCACAAAACTATATATACTTTCATCAAATTATCACAAAACTACAGATTTAAGGTGATATATCATAAAACTATATATTTAATACTAAATTTATCACAAAACTAAAGGTTTAAGACTAAGTATCGCAAAACTATAGATTTAATAATAAAATTATCACAAAACTACACATATGGGGTTCAAATCCTTATGTTTGAGTTATCAACGTCCAAGTTTTATAATTAAATTGACGTAAACATGTGGTTTTGTGATAATTTTATTATTAAATATGTAGTTTTGCAATACTTAACCTTAAACATATAGTTTTGTGATATATTATCTTAAATATATAGTTTTCTGATAAATTAATCAAAGTATATGTAGTTCCTTAAAATTTACTCTTTATTATAAGTTTATAACTACCAATAGACCATTAGAACGCATGATGCTGGTAAGTAGCATGTAGGGCTAACGATGTCCCACCTGACACACTGAACCAAGCTACAGATTATTTGTGATTAATTAAGTATTAGCTAATTAAAACTAAAAATGGATGTATGATTTTTTTTAAAACAATACTTTCTATAGATTTTTTTAATAAAACACATCATCTAGCATTTTGGGAAGTGCGCGCACGAAAAACGAGAGTGTAGAAGTTGGGAAAGTAGGGAGGATAGCATAGCCCTAGAGTGAGTTCTTTCTTGATGTTGGGAACTCATCCCTCGCGCATGAAAAATGAAGCGACTTATTAGCGCATGATTAATTAAGTATTAACTATTTTTTAAAAAAAGTTAATATGATTTTTAAAGAAACTTTCATATGTAATTGTTTTAAAAAGAATACACCATTTAGAAGTTTAAAAAGCATGTACGTGGAAAACGAGAAAGTTGAGTTTAGAACTTAACCGAACTCAACCCTATTGATGTTGTGAAGTCTCTGTTAAAAAAATAGAATGATCTAAAGTAAGTTGTCTTGACTACTGTCTGGACAACAGGTTGAATGGTGATTTTAATATGCCCAAGAAATTTACAATATTGAAAGTGGTTATTATCTTGTGGTTGTGGCTAGAGGGAGATCCAAAAGAAATGCTATAAAAGTATAGATTGTTGCATGATATGAAAATAAGGATATCAATCCGTAAGCCCTTCTCTATTTATGATGGGAAAATAATTTGTGAAAAGTTGGCTTAGATATTCATCTAACTTAGAAATACTCAGTTGCATTTTTTTTAGTTTTAATCATTTGCTAGCATAATTTCAGTACTATAGTGATGTTTATCAAGTTGTCCTTAAGAACCTGCACTCTCTTACAATCTTCCAACTAACAAAGTACAGTGCTCTTGAATTTGCATAGTTTTTACAGAAAGGGTGAAATAGATAAAGAGTGAACTTCATATTAAATCTCAAATACTTGTGTTAGAACCATCGGAATTAGGTGAAGGCATGAGCATCATCTTCAGCAGAAATAAGCATTTGTACTATGTACTTCATGGTTGGCCTTTTGTTTTTATCTTCTTCCAAGCATGAAACGGCCAATTGCATTAGTAGCCTAGCCTGCAAATGATTAAATTCACCATGCAACCGATCATCCATCAAATCCGCAACCAAGGATTCTATGTTGCTCTCAAGTTTGCTGACAACCATCTTAACCACACTTCTCAATTCGGCTTCTAGTTCCTCTTTCCCATCCAACACCCAATCTGAAATCCTCACCCCTTTCACCAGTTCAAGAAGCACCACTCCATAACTGTACACATCAACTTTCTCTGTGATTGGAAGGCTAGAAACCCACTCAGGAGCCATATATCCTCTTGTCCCCCGAATCCATGACATGTCAGAACCAGACCCGTCTCTATTCAACAACTTGGACAAGCCAAAGTCAGTGATCTTAGGCTCCATATCTTCATCCAATAGTATGTTCTCTGGCTTCATGTCGCAATGGATGATCCACTCAAGGCACTCATTGTGAAGATATGCCAGCCCCTTGGCAACACCTAGAGCAATGTTGAACCTTTGCTTCCATCCAAGAAACATACCAGAATCCCTCCCTTGAAATAGTACTTTGGCCAATGATCCATTCTCAATGTACTCATAGACTAAAATCCTATGTATTCCTTCTGAGCAAAAACCCCACATTCTAACAAGATTCATATGATAAATTCTACCAATAACACTCAACTCAGCCTGGAACACATCCTCACCCTGCTTCACATCTTGTAGCACCTTGACGGCCACCGTCCTCTCATCATCTAGAATTCCTTTGTACACAACACCTGACCCACCACGGCCGATCTCACTCTGAAAATTTCTAGTTCCATTCCGTAGCTCTACGTAACTATATGCGCGAAAATGGTTGGTAACCATCCTGTACCCTTCATCTAGTGCTGAAACCTGACATCGCCTAAAAACTCCCTTGTTGGAAAAGAGCCAGCAACCGAATGCTATCACAAACACCTCAATGACAAAAAATGCAGTCAGAAATCCGTAGAAGTAGAACCATATCGACTTGCCCTGATTACTTTTGCTCGATGACGCATTCGAGACATTGAGCAAGAACTCCGGTGAGCTCATGCCACCGCATCCGACAATGTCTTCCTGAATGGCAATGGCGTGGCGATCGCCGTCCTTTTGCCATTGGTGGATGTGAATTTCTGGCATGTCGAGATCAGCCGGGACCTTGAGATAGGCCGTCCCAGGCAGGCCGGGGAACGTTCTGCCATTGAACATGAGGCTTTTTGGGTAGCACTCACCTTTGCCCTGCTTGTACTGGAAAACCACGCACGACGGCTCGCTCATGCACCGTGTCGAGCACTCGTCCAGCGACAGGTTCTCGCTGCTGTTGATGTCGAAGCCCCAGAAGTCGGTGTGCGGCAGCGCCACCAGCTTCATCGCCCGCGGCCGGCCGCCGCCGTCACCGGAGTTGAACGTTGGCCGGCAGCCTCTGCTCCAGTCGCTCGGGTCGGCGCGCGCGTACCCCGGCGCGCAGACGCACACCGGCGCCGGCGAGTAGAGGCAGACGGCGTTGGCGCCGCACACGCCGTGGATGATGCACGGGTTGCTGAACGCCATCCACGACACCAACCATGTCCCGGCGACCTCGTCAAGGCTGTACAGCCTGAGGTTGCCGTCCGTGTCCAGCGTCAGCCTCCTCCTAACGGCGACATTCTTGCCCAGATCGGCGGCGCCGAAGGTGGCGTTGTCGCTGGACGAGAAATGGCCGGAGGCGTCGAAGAAAGCTTCCCGGGTGAAGTTGTAGATCTTGCGACTGTTCTGCCAGTAGCTGTAGTAGGGGTTGGGCCAGTAGATGCTGGACATCTCATGGTTGTCGTACACCAGCGACAGCATGGCGTAGTCGCTGAAGCGGAAGCTGTAGAAGCCGGCGGCGAGGATCTTGTCTGCCGAGACCATCGCCTCGCCGGCGGCGATGCGCTGCGTGGGCAGTAGTGTGTCGGTGGGGTGGTCGAAGCTCTGCCATAGGACGTTCCCGCTCCCGTCCTCGATGGCGAGGTTGCCGGAATCGTGCAGCCGCGCGCGCGCAGCGGTGGCGCTGGCGCTGACGGTGGAGTTCCAGACCACCTCGCCGTCGTAGTCGGTGAGGACGAGCGCGCCGCGGCGGCCGCTGAGTTTGAGACGGGAGCGCTTGCTGTGGACGGGGCGGGCGCGGTTGGCGGACCAGACGACGGCGCGGTCGGCGGCGCGCGCGAACCAGACGGAGAAGGTGAAGACGGTGGGCGAGACGCCGTAGAAGCCGCAGGCGAAGGTGCCGTCCGGGGAGAGCAGGACGTCGGTGGCGTGGTCCTCGACGGCGATGGAGGCGCCCCGGAGGAGACTGTCGCGCGCCGTGCACGGAAATGGACGCGACAGCGAGACGAAGACGACGAGTAGCAGCGCTTTGGTGGCGGCGGCGCGAAGGGCACCGCTACTGCTACAACTAGTGCTCATGGCTGTCAAGTCGTGCCGGTAATGGTAATTGGTAGGTGGCGAGGAAGTGATTAGCTTTGATCTAATCTACTCACTGTTGATGTGTTGAGTTAATTAGACAAGTATACTAGTAATTAACAAATGTTTTATCCGACAGGCAAATTGCAGGAACCGTGACCAAGGCGCCTAATAAGTTTGACTCGCCCTGACAGACGACGACAACATGTTTTTCCTGAGACAATGGGGACCAGATCCTGCAAATGGTATTAGGAGGCAATCGCGACTGGTATTGGAATTTTGTAATTCTTCCGTTTCACAATGTAAAAATTTCTAGCATTACCTGTTGGTAATTTTTCTAACAAGTCGACAAGCACGATCGCAACACCTAAACGCCTTGCGGTGATATGGAGTCGCCAACCACCTCGATCTAACCAAAGGGCCAAATCAATATGGGTTTTGCAAAAAGAAAAGCTAAACCGGCTAGCGGAGCTATGGGTTTTGCAAAAAGAAAAGCTAAACCGGCTAGCGGAGCCGATTTAGAGATCAAAATCAGCCTTTATGCCGATTTAGATCGATATGAGGATAACTACCCGTCTCGTGGGCAAAACGGAAGGTTTTCAGGACAAACCTACAAAGAGGTGTCGCACTCTCGCAGCGGCGACGGACGGTTTACGGCGCAAACCGACAAAGATGGACTAAAATTAGGGTAAAATAAAAAACATAGTAAAAGAACGATTCAAGTAGATTGTATTCGGGTGTTTTACGATGAACCGGTCTTGTCCCTTCTCCACGTCCAACTCGGGATAGAAAATAAAGGAAACACGAAACATGCCTTCCCGAGCAAGGAAACCCGAGACCTGACGAAAACAGACTCGGACTTGGACCCTACCGGTCTGACCGCCCACATACCTGCGGTCAGACTGGCCCTACTAGCCGGTCAGACTGCCCATATACCTGCGGTCTAACCGGCCCTATGAAGGAAACCCGGCACTTTCCAAACTTTAAATTTTCCTCTATTTCGTCTATAGGTGCCAAATTTGGGTGTAAACACATGCCCCCCTGCATTTTTTATGAACATCGTGAATCTAAAAGCATAGAACATATTGTCTTAGGGCGATAATCCAATTACCGGCCATAGTACTTCCTAAGCATCTTGCCAAATGCTCGGGAAGTATTTCTTCAAGTATTTCCCATTAATTGCTCTATGAAAACACCGTCTTGAAGTGTCTTCATCTCCTTCAAAGTCTTCAAACGCTTGTCGATGACGTCTTCAAAATTGCTTCCCATCAAGGTCTTGTAATCTTCAACCGACAAGTCATCTTGCTTGAAATACCGAAGAGAGTCAAGATTTACCTCAACTTCGTATAAGTAATATTCTCAAGCGGCACGGCTTCGGCCCACTTAGTGAAATCCATTGCAACTAGCACGAACCAATGCCCTTTTGATAACGAAGGATAAATCTGACCAATGAAATCCAAAGCCCTACCTCGGAACGGCCATGGTTTGATAATAGGATTCAATATAGCGACATGCGCCAAATGAACATTGCCGATCCGTTGACAAGCTTCACTCCCTCTGTAGCACTTGAAATAATCATCAATTACTTTCGGCCAATAGAATTCCACTCTTCTAAGCAACCAATTCATCTTATGGGCCAATTGATGAATTCCACAAATCCCTTCATGCACATCTCCCCTAGCAACTTTAGATTGATCATTGTCTAAACACATCAATAGCACTCCATCTATATTTCGGCGATATAATATTTGAACATTTGCCGCCGAATCTTCCGATCAACCCCAAGACTAGGATCTTTCAAATATTCTATCAAAGGAATTCTCCAAGCTATTTCTAACTCATGGGCACAAATGTCCGAATTCACAATTAATTCGGCCTTTTAATCAACTGTAACGTGCCCCCAAGCCTCCTGTCTGGGATCGGTCAGACCGGCCACGCAATGCCGGTCAGACCGCCCTGTCTGCCTGAACAGACCGGCCATGCAGAGCCGGTCAGACCGCCGGTACCACCGGTCAGACCGCCGGTACCACCGGTCAGACTGGCCGTGCAATGCCAGTCAGACCGCCCCTAGTCTGTGATTTTGCCAATTTCATCCAAAGACTTAAAAATCAAGCACCGGCTTTTCTAATATCAAAAATACTCCTTTCTTCATATTATAACCAGATGCTTGGTGTATCGAACTATTGGACCAAAATCCCTCCTCTCTAGACATATGAAAAATTATAATATCCAACTAATATGTCTAGATGAATACTAATTCAAATGGCTTTTGAAACAATAATCATCATGGCATCAAAACACTTAGCCAATTGAAGTATGATCAATAATGAATCACCAAAGTCATATGTGTCACATGCATAGATTCTAATAAACTACAAATGTAAGTAATCGGCTTGAGCATGTATGTAAAATATTAACAATGCCAATGTTCCTAAAGAAAACCACTCTAGAGCAAATCATCACATTGACCATTGACATTAGTCGAATTACTAGTAAGCAAAACTTTCATGGTGCAATAAATATGAAATCTATATATTATCTGGTGATCCATAAAAACACATATAATTTGGCTTTAAATAAATATCAGAGTCATGAGCCAAATCATATTTCAAACAAATTATATGCCAACCTACCAATTCTACTACCTAGAACTGGCATTTGCAACATGTATGTATAATATGAATTTGATAAGTAAAAACACACATGTGCTAGATAGCAAGCAATGTTCTAACATGGCATAGGCATATAATATGATGATGAACACAATAAACCCATACCTTGCCTTAGCATCCAACAAACGGCGGCTAAAAGATGTGATGCCGTATCCATCGCTATTCATCTTCTCTTGGTTCCCTCATAAGCATATTGATGTCTTGCCCCCCGAGCAAAATCGGCTTTCTTGATTGCACAATTTCAAAGGCAAGACGAACACCGCACCAGCATCGATAGCATCATGTGAAGGAGACTTATCTCTAATGACCGATGATTCTTCTCTTATCAAATTGGATTCATCTCTACTACGGGAAATCACCAGTCTCTTAACTTTTACCTCATTGGATCTCCACATTTGCCTAGGTGCTTTTCGAGGCTCCAAATTATTGCATGTCTTGTTCTCCACATCTTCGGCCTCTTTTTCTTTTTGACCTATGGCTCGAAGACGCTGTAGCCTCCTCTTTTGAGAGTGAGATAAGCCAGAAGGTATCCACTTCGGCTGTGGTTGTTTTCCAGGAGCTAAGCAATGATTCTTCATATTTTTGGTCGAAGTGGAAGCTCCTATGTTGCTCTCAATTTTCACACTCTTCTCCAATACCCCCCCCCCCGGTCAGACCGGCCTCTGGGCCCGGTCCGACCGGTCACAAGCCGTCGGTCAGACCGGCCAGTAAGGTCGGTCAGACCGGCCGTAGACTGGCGGTTAGACCGGCCAGCTGGCTCGGTCAGACCGCTGATGTCGACAACAACGGTATTGGCTTTAGTCTTCTCCGTTTGTATAGTTTTCGCTGCATCTCCAGTAGGTACATGAACATCTTGAGATTCCTCATTGATAGCAACGACCTCCGGAGCTTTGGCTTCTTTCCTCACCCACACCTTCTTCACCTTTTTCACCTTTGATCCACCGGACCGATTCTTTTGGGGAAACGGTCTTGTCTTGAGTTGGATGAATGATTTGGCACTAACCTAGGTGATTCCTTCCACTCTTGGTAATACGGCATAGGTGGTTGATGCATCCAAGGCATGTAATACATAAAAGGATAACCATATAGTGACATTGGATATGGATACCATGGCATCACAACCGGAGGTTTATATGGAGTTGGTATGGTTGATGGCTCCGATTGCTTTGATGTTTGACCAAATCTCTTCCTACGAGATGATCTTGGTCTTTTCGAATCACTAGTTTGGTTATCAAATCGTTGACCGGCTAATCCTTTCTTGTATTTAGCCATAAGCATCTCAAAAGTGAGCTTCGGCTTTTTGGTCCTTTGGATACTAGATAACTCATCCTTTGCAACTTTATGATCTCCGGCCTTTGCATTATTGATCCTATTCTTGGGCCAAGGATCCCCAATAATAACACTTTTCCCTTTCTTTTTGTCAACATCAATAGGACTAATAAGGAGAGAATTACTAACAATTCCGGTCTTAGGCATAGGTGTAACCGAAATAGTTTCACACGTGACCGATGAAGTATCAATCGGTCTTTGCTCCATCAAGCTTGCATCTTTAAAATAATCATGAAACTCATGCTCCATTTGTGACCATGTAGAAATTGAATTGGGAGCAAGTAAACTATATCATGTACATGCAAAGTTTGACAAAGAAAGAGGAAACAACTTTAACTTAAGCAAATCATCACTACCGGCCTTACCACATTGTTCAATAAATTGACCGATATGCTCCATTGTTGTTCTAGCATCCTCACCTGTGAATTTCGTGAAGTTGGGCACTTCAAATCCTTGCAGGTACGGGACCGAATCTACATGTTCAGGATACGGCCTTTGATATGTATGCATAGCTACTTTGGATTCTATTTCACTACTATCCCGCAAAACATTATCATTATCTTTTCCAACATCCACATGACCGATTTGTGATTCGGTCTTAGGTGATAATGCTATTTCACTTTCACTTGTGATATAACCTGAACCGTCACTTAGTTCGGCTATATTTTCAATGATGCTATTCTCTAAGCTAGCAACACAATCCGAACCATTACTTGTTCGGCTATTCCATCGTTGTCTAAACTAGTAACACAATCCGAACCAACACTTGGTTCGGCTATAATCGCTATGGCATCATTGCACAAATTATTAACACAATCCGAACCATCGCTTGGTTCGGCTATACATGATATTGCATTTTCATCTAAACTAGTTTGTAAGCTATTGTCATCCACTCGGCTTTCCTGAGCCAGAGCTTCATGCAACACATGATCAATATCAAGAAATATATGGCCATTCAATTTCTATTTAATAGAATCAAGCAATCCATCATATGCGATGTCAGCCAAATCTTTGTCAGTTATTTTCAAATTGAAACATCGGTTTTTAACATCTCTAAACCTTTCAATATAATCAGCAACAGATTCATTGTATTTGTGCCTAACCGATGTTAAATCAGACAACCTAAGCTCAGTCTCACTAGTGTGGAAATAATCATGAAATTTTTGTTCTAATTGAGCCCAGGAAGAAATAGAATTTGCCGGTAAAGAAGTAAACCATGCAAAAGCAATACCGGACAAAGATAAAGAAAACAAGCGCAATTTACATGTATCCCAATTAGCTTCACCACATTGCGCTAAAAAATTGATCTACATGCTCCCATGTGGTCCTACTTTCCTCACCACTAAACTTAGTAAATTCAGGAATTTTATAACCACGAGGATATGGGATAATATCATAAAAATCAAGATACGGCTTTTGGTACTCCCTAGCATGATTCCTTAGCTTTGCGAAATTCTCCCTAATAGTATTTCTAAACCAATCCTCCACAGTTTCAGGCTTTGGTGGATCTGGTGGTGGACTTGGTGGCCTAAAAGGTGGTTGTTGCGGCACAATATTGTTATATTGGCCATACCTAGTATCGGGAGGATATCCCCTATTAATATCATTGTAGGCATTAGAGATATGTGGAAAAGCATGACTAACAGTATTAACAGGTGATGAATAATAATTAAAATCAGTACTGCTAGTCGTGGTATGAAAACCTGGAGAAACTCCCAGGGAACCGGTCCGACCGGCCCATGGCCCGGTCTGACCGGTGGTCAGTGGTGCGGTCAGACCGGCCACAGGAGGCGCGATCTGGCCAGGATAGGGTATGGTCTGACCGGCTATAGTAGGCACGGTCTGACCGGCGTAGTACACGGTCTAACCGGCCATGGTGGGCACGGTCTGACCGGCAAAGGATGCGGTTAGACCGGTGTCACGACTGGTCATACCGTCAGCTCGGTTTTGCATATAGCCGATTCCTATGTAATCGGCTGTATAATCACCCATTGACCCCCCCTCCCCCTAGCATTATAAGCATATTGTATAGGAGCAAAACTAAAAGTAGCATATGCATCTACACAATGATTATTAACGTTTTGAATAGCAAAGGACGGGTTGGGCGAATCGAAGGTTACCTTTGGTGAAATTACAACTTGAGGTAGCGGGACGTCTTCTCTCATGACGCCTTGATCGGTCCTAATGTATTGTGTAGCAATATTGTTGAACCCGTTCTCACTCGTTATAGTTGATGAAGAAATTCCTTGATTAATTTCAGCCATATAGCTCGTAGCCGAAATATTGATATTTTTCATGTGTGTGCAGTGAGCAAAAATCTGGAAATTTCGATGTCTCGCAGAACAACCGATACAGTATGAATCGGTTTTGTATTTTTTTTTTATGTACGTACACAGTAATAGATCGGCTTTGATCAATAGCCTGATCTCGTTTTGTTTTGCTTTTTTTTACTCGGTTAATATGCACAATAAGAAAGCGAGACTGATACTGCTCCTATTGTCTTCCTGGTTCCCGCATTTGCGTCGGCAGCTGCTGCTCCTCTTCTCCGGTCTGACCGAATTGATAATGTCGGTTAGACCGGCAAGATAGGCAGCCAGATCGACAGCACAAGAACAATGCCGCCGATCTGAATCAATCAACACAATGATCGATAGATATGTGCAGTGATAGTACATAGATAGATTGATTTCGGCTGTTTAGCCGAAACTCTAGATTTGACGAAACAGAAATTACTAGATTAAACGAAATTCGGCCATGATATGGCTGATTAGATCGTTCCCCAGTGGAGTCGCCAAAAATCGTGTTGGCAACTTTTTTAACAAGTCGACAAGCACGATCGCAACACCTAAACGTCTTGCGGTGATATGGAGTCACCAACCACCTCGATCTAGCCAAAGGGCCAAATCAAGATGGGTTTTGCAAAAAGAAAAGCTAAACCGGCTAGCGGAGCCGATTTAGAGATCAAAATCAGCCTTTAGGCCGATTTAGATCGATATGAAAATAACTACCCGTCTCGTGGGTAAAACGGAAGGTTTTCAGGACAAACCTACAAAGAGGTGTCGCACTCTCGCAGCGGCGGCGGACGGTTTACGGCGCAAACCGACAAAGATGGACTAAAACTAAAACATAGTAAAAGAACGATTCAAGTAGATTGTATTCGGGTGTTTTACAATAAACCGGCCTTGTCCCTTAAATAGGGGTTGGTCTTGCCCTCTACAGGCCCTTCTCCACGTCCAACTCGGGATAGAAACTAAAGGAAACACGAAACATGCCTTCCCGAGCAAGGAAACCCGAGACCCGACGAAAACAGACTCGGACTCGGACCCTGCCGGTCTGACCGCCCACATACCTGCGGTCTGACCGGCCCTGTGAAGGAAACTCGGCACTTTCCAAACTTTGGCAATTTTCCTCTATTTCGTCTATAGGTGCCAAATTTGGGTGTAAACATTACCCATATTCATTTAGATGTTAAAGAATCTAGACATATGTATGTGTTTAGGTTCATTAACATTTATATGTATGTGGACAATGTTAGAAAGTCTTACATTGTGAAACGGAGGGAGTAGTTTACTACCCCTCCATTCTACGTTATAAGCTTTTTGGGCGAAGCAAGAAGCCTTCGTCTGAATAGAAGGGGCCTTCGACCAAGGGTTTGGGAGACCTTGCGGCCCATGGGGGCCTTTCGTCATTAATGGGCCGGCCCAAGGAGATCGCTTGAGGGCCCATGAATACAAAAGAGACTGTGTACCCACACTAATGTCCATATCATAAAGGTATCCATGTAAATTCTCATATACTAACTAAACCCTAGAAGGTATGAGCATGTACTAAGACTATAATATTGCTCTTACTATTCCATCAACTTACTGAGTGAACCACGTCTTTCGATATGACGCAATTGTCTTTTGACAACAATATCTTTATCCAAAATTACAAATTATTTTATGGAAACTAAAGTTGCCATAGAATACAAATAGCTAATATCAACCCCTGATATTCCTTGCAAGAGATCTAAGGTTAAAACTACATATCACATAACAATTAATCAACAAATACATGACTGACATAGCTTTAACCTTCAAATGAAATGAGTGCTTGCACAACTGAGTTCATGTTTGGCCGCTTGCTCCTATCTTCCTCCAAGCATGAAAGAGCAATCTCAAGCATCAGCTTCACTTGTACATGGTTGAAATCACCGTTCAATCGATAGTCCACAAGATCCTCGATAGATTTTTCTTCATTGGACTCCATCTTCTCACGTGTCACCCTAACAACTATCCTAATATCCATCTCACATACCTTGATCCCATGGATCACCCATTCCGAAATCCAAATCCCCTTCACTAGCTCAAGGAGTATTACTCCATAACTATACACATCAACCTTCTCTATAACCGGTAGGTTAGTAACCCACTCTGGAGCCATGTACCCTCTTGTCCCTCTGATCCGTGTCAAAATTGCATCTGAACCATCTCTGTTTAACAACTTAGACAAACCAAAATCCGTAATCTTGGGCTCCAAATCCTTATCCAACAAAATGTTCTCAGGCTTCATGTCACAAGGAACAATCCATTCTGAACACTCACTGTGAAGGTAAGCCAGCCCTTTAGCCACACACAGAGCAATCCTGAACCGTTGATTCCAATCAAGCACATCATCATCAAATCCATCCCTACCAAACAACTTATGTGCAAGTGATCCATTCTCTATGTATTCAGAGACAAGAATCCTGTGCTTGCCTTGAGAGCAGCAACCCCACATTCTGACAAGGTTCATGTGATAGATCCTTCCAATCACACTCAGCTCCGCTTGGAACTCCTCACTCTACCGGCTCACGTTCTTGAGCACCTTCACGGCCACCGCCCTCTCATCGTCGAGCACGCCCTTGTACACCACGCCAGAGCCGCCGTGGCCGATCACGCCGGTGAAGCTCGCCGTGGCTTTCTTGATGTCACCGAGGGGTCACATCAAGAAAAGGTTAGAATGTTACCGAGCAGTGGCGGATCTACGAATTTTTCTAAGCCCGGGCAAGCCTAGCGATGGGTAGAAGGTGTACTTAAATCTATATAAGTACATAAACCATTTAATATATATTATATAGTCTTGTATTATCTTAAAATTGAAAAAACAGATGATCAACTAGTAAATTAATTAAGAAAGTAATTAGCTACTACTACTCAACTGCATGTACGACTGAACCCTGTAACTAAGTACTAGTCACTGCAGTATGGTGCACTGAATGAGGCGAAGTGATGGTAACAAGTAACAAGTGCTCTTTCACTGTTGATTCATGCGGCGGAGCTCGGGCAGCTGCCCATGCTAGCCGGGCGGCGGCTCCGCCGCTGTTACCGAGGGTCTTCTCTCTGGCATATAGAAGCTTGCTGCAGAACTTTCTCACATGTATGATTGTGAAAATGAGGACATGGTGGTGGGTTTTGGAACCCACTTGCAATTCCAGCCATACCTTCCTCTATGGTATGGTATGTGTGACGTGATAAATATTCATCTAGCTCAGCTAAACCCTTAGCCATGTCCTCTTCCTGGACAACCTCCTCCTCCTCCTCCTCCTCCAGTAGTACATGAAGGGCAAGAACAACTGGATGTATTCCTTTATTTAATTTCTTCATGATAGGATGATTCTTCAAAATAGAATGAATACCCCTCTCCAGATCTGCTTCTTCCTCTTCATGAGTCATATTCCCAATAGAACAAATGTCCTCATCCACCACATCCTCATCCACCTCCAAATCCAATTTCTCAAACCTAAACAACACATTACAATCCAATTAGTAATCATATTAAAAAAAATTGTCCCTATTAATTTAGAGATGATTGTAATGACAACAAAATCTTGCGGTTATATGACATTTTATTAACAACATGCACTATTTTCTTAGACTAAACATGGCATGCATTAAATTAATGCCAATTATCTTCATATGAAGATTAATGCATGGTGCACGAGTCAAAATATGAAGAAATACATGAACGCAAAAACAAATACTCACAATTGTGACATCCAATGCGGTAATTCGTCTTGTTCATGCAAGCCAGCAGCATCCACGTTGACCCTAAATAAATATAGCATTGCATTAACGTTAGCATGTTGCTAATTAATCTTGCTTTGAGAAACTACAATGCATGGATCTAAATAAATCAAAAGGAACGCATAGTTTTAATATGGCATGGTTAGAAGATAACCCTTATAAGGTTTTCAGCAGGTGATCATATTTTCACACACATAAAGAATAGAAACCATTTTTCATCTCATGTCAAGCATGCAATTTTTGCCAAAAGCAAAAAACAGTGCCCTGATATAAATAGACCAATTGATAGAAGTGAAATGCGTTAAGCATATAGTAACAAAACAGCAATATAATATCAAGGATAAGCTTATGAATTGGCAATACCCAAAGCATAAAGAATCATGATTTGCAGATTAACAAACAGGATAAGTAAACCATAAACAGCATGGGAACATCTACTTAGCAGAAGAAAACTGAAGGAAGAGATAAGATGAACATACATGGTGGAATCCTGCTGGATTACTGCAGTTGATTCGGAGGTCACTGTTTCAGCATCAGCCGTAGGCATTTGCTCCGCTAGCCTGAAGAACACAAGATGAACATATATATATAAGTCATCAAGAATGCATCCTATTGCACGAGAGCAACTGAGCAAGCAAGCAAACAACGGCAAGCACAGACGTAAGTGCCTGGTTTCTTCCCCAATTGCCTCCCGCAGCCGTGGGTCGTCTGGCAGAGAAGAGCTGCTCCGGCTCGTCGGCGTCTCCTCGTCATCGTCGGCGGGATCCATGGCGGAGTGGATCTGTGGATGGATGGGTGGAGGCGAAGCCGCAGGCCGCAGCTAGAGCTAGGTAGGAGGAGGAAGGAGCGAGCCCTAGCTAGGTGAAGTAGGTCCCTTTTCGTTCGAGGAAGACGAAGGGGAAGGGAAGGCACATTGCGAAATTTGATATTTTACCATCGTTAGGCAGCTGGATTCGCCGAAAATATCATTATCAATTGAGAGGCTTCACTCATATGCCATTTTCTTCTAATTCTCTCTTTCGTCTTATTATTATTGACTAAAATACTCCTAGTTGAATCAATTTAAGTATATCAAAAAATACGTAGATTATAAAGTAAATATACCAAAATAGTTTTACATGTTATTTTTTTTCTCTACACCATATTACATAGTATGCGGCGTATTATCTCCACAACATAAAAAAAAACACTCTCAACTGAAACTCTCATAAAAAATACGTAATTATTTTTTATTTATGCTGTGAAGATAGTGTCTTATACTCTGTAATTTGGTGTAAAGAAAAAAAAACATATATATTGCATGTCAATATATTTGTGCGATATGTACTCTGTAATCTACATATTTGCTTTACTTGAATTAATTCAACTAGGGGTATTTTGGTCAGCAAATATAAGAGAAAAAAGAGAATTGGAAGAAAATGGTGTTTCGGCAAAACCCCTCAATTGAGAATGGTATTTCGGCGAATCCCAACTATAAGTGGTATTTGGGTGAAACCCTATTTTAACGATGGTATTATGCCAATTTTCTCCTAGCTATGTAGTGTTATCATGGCGCATGGGCCTTTGGGATTCGGCCCAGTTTCCACTGTTTTGGGCCAATAAGTTCATCTGAGGTCCTTAAGTTGTCAGCGAATCTGATTTTCGTCCTTTATCTAGAAAACGATACAACGGGTTCCTCAACTGTTAAAACCGATGCAATATAGGTCTCATGGCGGTTTGAACGGCGATTTTAGCTAACGTGGCATTGACGTGACAATTTAATTTGGAAAATATTAAAAACTGTGACCCCACATATTAGTTACACCAAAATAATGAATTAAAAAATGGTGGGCTCATGTGGACCCCATAGGTTCTCAACCCCCCCCCTCTCTCTCTCTTCCTCCCGGTTTTGCTACTGGGAAAGAGTAGCATGTAGGGGTTGGGTGGGGGGGTGATCGCCCGAGCGGTCACCCACCCATTAGCACCCCCTCTTCCTCCTCCCTCTCGGCCTCTCCACATTAATGCCACATGTAAACTCATAATTACAAAAGCCACAATAGATCGACAAATTTTCTAATGGAGCAAGCATGCATACACACGGCTAGGTTAAATCTATAACTAATATAAATATTCGTATTTTTCCGGTCGTCACATCTAATTTTCATCCGTTTATCTTCCATACACAATCCGATTCGGTTAGCAATAGCCATGGAAAAAAATTGCAAAAAAAAGGGCAGCCGCCGACGCCCGCCTCCACGCTGTCCGGGCCGCCGCACCTCCCCTCCCCCGATCTAGCGGAGGGAAGGGCATCGCCGGCCCTCCCGCCGCCGCCACACAGAGAGAAAGGGGGAGAAGTGGAGAGAGTGGGGGTGGGGCGTCGCGCTGTGGGGAGGGTGGCGCTGCTCGCTGGGGGGAGTGCGCGCCGCCGCCGCTGCTCGCTGTGGGGGAAGGCGGCGCTGCCGCCACACCCCGCCGCACCCCGCCGTCGCCGCACCGTGCCGGCGAGAAGGGAGGGACGGCGCCGGTGGCGGGGGAGTCAGCCGGCTGGGGGGAGGGGGAGAGGCGCCGGTGGGGAGAGGGAGAGGGGGAGGAGGAGGCGGCGTTGGGGGCGGGGAAGGAGGAGGCGGCCGGCTCGGCTCGACTGGGGCGGGAGGGTGAGGGGGAGGGTTAGGGTTAGGGTTAGGTTTTCATCAATTTTAAACTGATCTGAGGCGTCCATCAAAACGAACGGCTGAGATCGATCGAGGGTTTGGGCCACACCACTTGGGCTGCACGTGGGCCGGCGGTCCACTAAGTGAGAGAGGAGGAGTATGGGGGTATCGGGTATCAAGTAGATTTTGCTCTCTTGTGGGCTGAAAAAGGCCCATACAGAAAAAATGATTTTTATTTCAATAAATGCTGAAATGATATTTGTATTATCAAAATTAGCAATTAAGCTATGTAAATTCCAAGAAAATTTCAATGAGTGTAATTAATATAGAAAATTTAATAAAAGTTAAATCCAACCATAACATTTTATTTCTTACCCTTACTTTACTTATAAATTAATTTAATTATATACCTACCTACTTAAAAAATACCCAAATATTAGAATTTAATATGTTTTAATTCAATTTTATTTGTTTTTTTTCTTTTCTTGCAACGCAAGACCACTTTTGCTATAATTTAAAAGAGTGTAATTAATATTGCAGAAAATTTTATATTTCATCAAATTATAATTCATTTTCTTCATATTAATAGTTCAAATCAAATTTCAGTCACCATATCATTAGCCGGTACAACGCACGGGCATTTTGCTACTCCCTCCGTTTCACAATGTAAGTCATTCTAGCATTTTTTATATTCATATTGATGGTAATGAATCTAGATATACATATCTATCTAGATTCATTAACAACAATATGAATGTGGGAAATGCTAGAATGACTTAGATCGTGAAACGGAAGAAGTAGTTAAATTAAATGAATGAAGAAGTAAAATTTTGAAAGATCATCATCGTTACCTTTTATCTCCTGATGATTGATGATGATTCATTGAACATAAATAGATCGGCCGATCGATCGATGTCCTGCAGCTGACGAACTTTTATCTCCTGCACCCTGCACGTATATATGCGCGCGCGGGGCAAGTTGTAGTTGAGTATATATTCTGATCACGAGCGCGCACCGGCCGGCTTGGAAACGGACTAGGCATTAATTATACGAATCGGAGTAGCTAGGCACTGCTATTCACGTTCGCGCTCGATCGGATGCGTCTCCGCGGCCGATCGATCCAACACGCGTACGTATGCTTTTCAGATTATTTGCTTCACATTTTAAAAAATATATTTTCTTGTATTGCTCAGATCAATTTGTTTTTAAGTTCTTTCTAAAAAAAGCTTATTTATCAATATATTTAATATTTTCCTACAATCAAGTAGATAATCCGTAGTACAATACTCTCGATAATTTGTTTCAAACTAAGCCTTAATGTTAGGCCACTAAAAACATAATACTCCCTCCATAATATAAGGCGCACACATATTCCAAGATTCAACCTTTAAAATATACATTTGACCAACATTTAATATAATATGAAACGAATTTTATTTGTTAAAAATTATATCATTGGATTGGCATTTAAATATACTTTCATATGGTTATAATTTTGTTGCTAGAAACTTTATAGTATATGAGAAATTATAAATTAAAGATTAGTTTTGAACACCGTGTCAATTTTGACCGCGCCTTATATTATGGGATAGAGGAAATAAAGAAAATATAGTAATAATAAATAATTGCTAGTGGATCTATACACTCAAATGTTTGGCTACGTGGATTGGATCACACTCATGTCTGAATTAAATAATAGATGCATCCCAGACAAAGAGATTGTTGGATTTCATGAATCATTTAGAAAAGAAAAGGTTATGTGATTACATAAATATATTTCATTAGTCCGAATCCTCAAAACTCTACACCCTCCCGTTCGGAACTATCATTGACCATTATCACTCTTTATCTCTCTACACCACTCATCACTGTTTTTCTTATTTAGCAGCTATTGTCTAATCGATCTCATCTAGTCTCCGCGCCACATCCGTTCTCTCCCTTTGTCAAGCTCTTCTCCCCCCCCCCCCCTTTCTCTCTGATCTTTCATCTCATTCTCTAATCACACTACTGTCGAATTTGACACTGCCCAAACATCGAGTTTATCGCCCTACCACTTGCCTTGCCCATATCTTTGGTGGCGTCATGCCATCCCTTCCTCACTATGTTGTGTAGCTAGGTAATAGACATCTCTTAAGCCCAAAGAAAATCCCACCACAACACACCCCCATCTCCACCCTTACCCTACCCTACCACATGCTCCTCGACAAGCTAGGATAAATAGTAAGGTGAAAATGATTTTTTTGCAATTTTTTTAATCAAATACTTAGCAAATCCCTTAAATTAAATAAATCAAAGTTAATGAAATATCTTCATCTAAAAATACGAATTAGTTTACGGAAACTAAACTTGTCATAGAATACAAATAGCCAATATCAATCTCTAATACGTACTCTTGCAAGGATCTAAGGTTAAAACTACTTATCACATAACAATTAATCAACAAATACATATTAACAAAGCACTAGATGACACATACTGACATAGCTTTAACCTTCAACCGAGATGAGTGATTGCACAACTGAGTTCATGTTTGGCCGCTTGCTCCTATCTTCCTCCAAGCATGAAATGGCAATCTCAAGCATCAGCTTCACTTGTACATGGTTGAAATCACCATTCAATCGATAGTCCACAAGATCCTCAATAGATCTCTTTTCATTGGACTCCATCTTCTGACATGTCGCCCTAACAACCATCCTAATATCCATCTCACATACCTTGATCCCATGGATCACCCATTCCGAAATCCTAATCCCCTTCACTAGCTCAAGGAGTATCACTCCGTAACTATACACATCAACCTTCTCTGTAAATGGTAAGTTAGTAACCCACTCTGGAGCCATGTACCCTCTTGTCCCTCTAATCCTTGTCAAAATTGCATCTGAACCATCTCTGTTTAACAACTTAGACAACCCAAAATCCGTAATCTTGGGCTCCAAATCCTTATCCAACAAAATGTTCTCAGGCTTCATGTCACAATGAACAATCCATTCTGAGCACTCACTGTGAAGGTAAGCCAACCCTTTAGCCACACCCAAAGCAATCCTGAACCTTTGATTCCAATCAAGCACATCATCATCAAATCCATGATCAAACAATCTTTGTGCAAGTGATCCATTCTCTATGTATTCAGAGACAAGAATCCTGTGCTTGGCTTGAGAGCAGCAACCCCACATTCTGACAAGGTTCATGTGATAGATCCTTCCAATCACACTCAGCTCTGCTTGGAACTCCTCCTCACTCTGCCGGCTCAAGTTCTTGAGCACCTTCACGGCCACCACCCTCTCGTCGTCAAGCACGCCCTTGTACACCACGCCGGAGCCGCCGCGGCCGATCACGCCGGTGAAGTTCGCCGTGGCTTTCTTGATGTCAGCGTAGGTGTACCTCTGGAAATGGCTCGTGATCAGCTTGTAGCCTTCTTGATCAATGGCGTACACCCGTGAATGCCGGAACAATCCTTTGCTTGAGAAGAGCCAGCAGCCGAACCCGATGACGATGGCCTCGACGACGAGCAACGCTGACAAGAATCCGTACAGGTATGGCCACACCGTCTTACCGGCGTCGTGAGATGACAGTGAAGAGGAGACGTTGAGGAGAACCTTTCTGTTGCTGTCGCCGGTGGCGGCGGCGGCGCAGCCGGCGATGTCTTCTTGGATGGCGAGGCCACCGCCGCCGCCGTCGCCGCCGCGCTGCCATTGGTGGACATGAAACTCCGGCACGTCGAAGTCGGCGGGGACCTTGATGTACACCGTTCCCGGCAAGCCGGGGAACGTCTTGCCGTTGAAGAGGACGCTCTTGAGGTAGCACTCCATGTGCTCCTTGTACTGGAACACCACGCACGCGCAGTTGTCGAGGCACTTGTTGGCGCAGTCGCCGAGCGGCATGACCTCGCCGTCGTTGAGGTCGTAGCCCCAGAAGTCGCTGTGCGGCAGCGCCACCAGCTTCGCCGGCCGGCCGCACTCGAGCCGGAACGTCGGCCTGCACCCCCTGCTCCAGTCGCTCGCGTCGACGCGCTCGTGCCCCGGCGCGCAGACGCACACCGGCGCCGGCGAGTAGAGGCACACGGCGTTGGCGCCGCACACGCCGTGGATGTTGCACGGGTTGCCGAACGCCATCCACGACACCGACCACGTTCCCGTCGCGTCGTCCAGGCTGTACGCCCTGAGGTTGCCGTCCGTGTCCAGCGTCAGCCGCCTCCTGACGCCGGCGGCGCCGAGGTCGGCGGCCTCGAAGGTGGTGCCGTCGCTGGAGAGGAACTGCCCGAGCGCGTCCATGGCGGCCTCGCGGGAGAAGTTGTAGATCTTGCGGTTGTTCTGCCAGTAGCTGAAGTAAGGGTTGGGCCAGTAGATGCTGGAGAAGTTGCCGTTGTCGTAGAAGAGGGAGAGCATGGCGTAGTCGCTGAACCCGAGGCTGTAGTAGCCGGCGGAGAGCAGCCGGTCGCGCGACACCAGCCGCGTCGCCGCCGTCAGCCGCTGCGCCGGGAGCAGCGTGTCGGTGGGGAAGTCGAAGCTCTGCCACAGCGTCTTGCCGCAGGCGTCCTCGACCACCAGGTTGCCGGTGTCGTGGAGCCGGACGCGGGCGCCGCCGCTGCCACCGGCGGCGGGGGTGGAGGAGTTCCAGACCACCTCGCCGCCGTAGTCGGTGAGGACGAGCGCGCCGCGGCGCGCGTCGAGCGTGACGCGCGCGCCCTTGCTGTGCACGGGGCGCGCCCGAGCCGCGGTCCAGACGACGGCGCGGTCGGCGGCGCGCGCGAACCAGACGGAGAAGGTGAAGACGGTGGGAGACGCGTCGTAGAAGCCGGCGGCGAACGTGCCGTCCGGCGAGCGCAGGACGTCGGTGGCGTGGTCCTCGACGGCGATCGAGGCGCCCCGGGCGAGCCACTCACGCGCCGCGTCGACGCGCCGTGGACATGGACGCGGCGACGAGCTTAGCGTGATGATCACAAGCAACGCGAAGGTTGCAAGGCGAGAGTTCATCATGGCACATCAATCAGGATGTTGATTCTGACAGGACTGAGATTAGGATGTTGATTTGGACTGTATAGTGATTACGGTTAATTTTTTTGTCACACAAGTCAAGAATTTTGTGCGTTCCATCGCCTGGGCACCAGTGACTACCACTAATTAAGATAGTAATATGGTAATAGACTAGTGTTAGTGAAAGCGATTTGACTTAGATCTGAGTATTGTATATGCATAACGAGGTGTACATGCACGTTGCGTCCAATGGAGTTTGTGTGCATCTGAACTCTGAAATTCTAAACTTCTGCTTAAAGAAAGCTGGGTGAGAAGATAGTAGTTCTGTTCACAGCAGTAATTGGGACTACGATTGATTAATAGAATTATGGGGCAATTTCATTTTTCCCCCACTTTCATCTCTAATATTGATTTTGCCCCTACTTTTTAGGGTTTTTGTTTTTGCCCCCACTTTTTGAACCGAAAAATACTTTTGCCCCTGCTTTGGATGGAGGAGTTAACGGTGTTAAATATGACATTTATACCCTCTCCCATATCTATTCATTAATTGTGTTTTTGCCCCTATTATGCATGGCTTTGGAAAATTATTTTTGTGAATATGTTTAAAATTAAATGATTGATTTGGACAGATTTTGACATTACAATTGGGACATAATTTGAATTTGATGGAATTTTGACAAAATTTCGGCAGCATTTTGACAGAAATTGAGCAAAAATTTTGACAAAATTTCAACAACATTTTACACAATCATATGAAGTCATATCAGCCTTGCATCGTTGACAATACCACACTTGGCATACAGATTAATCAGGGCATTGCTCACATGCGAATTGTCCACCAACACAACCTTTTCCGCATACACATGAACCCTCCTCCCAAGAGCAAGCGCCCCAATCTCTGCACAAGCGGTTAGAACACTGACTATGGTGACTCCATCTGGCGCAAAGTTGACGCCCAGCATCTCCCGGAAGACAGTGAGAACCTCGTTAGGGCGCCCGTTGGCCGCAAAGCTGTTGAGCATCGAATTCCACGAGACGAGGTTCTGCCCATGCACCGGCATTTCATCGAACACCTTGTGCACGCTCTCGAACAGGCCACACGCGCCGTAGAGATGAACGGGCGAGTTTTGGACGAACCCGTTCTTGGCGGCCTCGGTATGGAGGCACTCCCCTTCGCGGAGCGCGAGGAGGCGCGAGCAAGCCTGGAGCAGCGACGGGTAGGTGTGCGTGTCGGGCGGCGCGAGGCGGCGGCGGTGGAGCTCGAGCGCGACGCACGGGCGGAACGAGCCCGCAGCGATGCGGTGCACGGTGTTGAGGGGGAACGGGTCTAGTGGCCCGTGCGGGAGGAGGCGGGAGAGTACCGCCACGGCGTAGCGGAGCGGCGGCGCGCGGAGGACGGCGAGGTGGAAGAGGAGGTGCTTGGCGAGGAGCGGGTGGGAGGTGGGCACACCGGCCCGGAGCGCCCGCGCATGGATCTGCTTGGCGGCAGCGAGGGATGGCGCGGCGAGGTGGACGGGATCGCCTCGCTCCTCCAACCACCCTATCAGCCACCGCCGCCGCCGCCCAACCTAGCCCTCTCCCCCCAGCCTAGCCCTCTCGCCGCCGCCGACCCCTCTCCTGCTCGCCGGTGGGAGGAGCTGTGCTCTAGCCGCCGCCGCCGCCTGTAGACTCGAGAGAGAAGCAGCGAGATTGGGGGAAAGAATCGGTTCTCTGTTAGACTAGTGCCAGGGGTAAAAAAGTAGAACACAAATTCGAAAAAAATTTATTTTACTGCCATATAGCTGGTCCCACTAACTTCCATCCAAACCAGGGTAAACGTCTCTTCCGGTTAAAAAAAAGTGAGGGAAAAAATAAAAACCCTAAAAAGTAGAGGCATAATCAATATTGAAGATGAAAGTGGGGGCAAAAACGAAATTGTCCCTAGAATTATAGAAGTAATGTTTGTATCATACCAGCAGCTGTGCAGTATCAAATGCAGGATGAGCTGAGCAGACAGGAAAGGTTTTGACTGTCAGTTAATGTTGGGTGATTTTTTAGTCAACACTTGGTTTGATGATCTGTACCGTTGACTTTGTAAACAAATGATCTATATTCTACTGTATGATAAGGTTGAGGTGCTTTGCGGACAAGCATTAATCAGCCATCAATCAAGCCAATGGAGAAGTTCCATGTAGTTTCAGGATTGGGACACCTCACAGATTTTCAGCGAGTAAATGCATCATCACAGCAGCTACAATAACAGACTATAAGAATATATTTTAAGGAGATAAAATAGTGAGCAGAGCTGAACTCAGCTGCGTCTGGAGAAATTTATAATATGCCACTCAATAGAGGTACTCTAACCGAATGTCACTATTTAGGATGTTCTTATAAAAATGCCACTCAATAAAGATAAAGACTCGTTCTTAATAAAATGTCACTTTAGGCTATTTTGAGGCTTTTAATCGCAAAAGATGTGCGGAATGACAAAAATACCCATGTGTCTTTCCCTGCGGCGATAACGACTCCTTCTCGGCGTTGGCGCTGCGGTGGGGCGGCGGGACGGCGGTGGCGGCGTCGGCCCCTAGCGCGACTGAGAGGAAATCGGCCGTGCGTGGACGGGCGACGCCGCGACGGTAGCACGGCCGGCCAGGGGCGCGCAGACGGGGCGGCGTCGGCCCCTAGCTCCTCTCGACTGCGCGCGGTCAAGTGACAGCGACGGCAGCGGCAGCTGGGCGAGCGCGCGCCGACAGGGCGGCGGTGGCGGCGTCGGCCCCTAGCGTGCCAAGAAGAAGTCGTGAGAAAGAGAAGAGACGCATTCTCCAGATCTAAACGATCCTAAGGGTATTTCGGTCATTTCGCGAGCTTAGTGTGAGAAAAAAATTAAAAATATAAACAAATAAAAAATGTCTCAAAATAGCCCAAAGTAGCATTTTATTAAGAAACAGTCTCTATTGAGTGGCATTTTTATAAGAACATCCTAGAGAGCGGTCTTCTGTTAAAGCCACATCTACTAAGTAGCATATTGTTAAGGGCATGTTCACTTTGAAGCCATTTTCAACCTTACCAAATTTTGGTAAAGTTACCAAAAAAGTGGCTACATTTAGTTTGCTGTCAAATTTTAGTAACTATATAAGAAATCCTACCAAAATTTTGGTAAGTCAACTATACCAAAATTTTGGCATTACCAAAATTTGGTAAGTTTTTTTTTTCGCATAAAGTGAACCGGCACTAAATTTCTCCACCTAGATCTGCACCTGCACCAGTACCTGTACTTGTTCTACTTCTTGTTGTGCGAAGTCCAGACCCAATTCCAGGCTCAATCGTATCGGCATCGGTCTCAGGTAATGGGCCTAATTCCAGGCCCAACAGTAAGCAATGCAGTTCGGTCATGGGCTCTTCCTCCTCCTATGCGTATAGCCGTATAGGAATAGTCGTGTCGCGCCTGGATTAGGACCGCGCTATAAAATTTAAAAATCAAGGGGTTTTTTCGCAAAACGACGCGCCCTAACAACCCACCCCGCAAGTCGGCAACCCTAGCCACCGCCGCCAGTCCCCTCCTCCCCCGCGCTCTCCCTCTCCCCATCACGCCGCCGCCGCCGCCGTCGCGTCGCCGTCCCCGACGCCTCCGCCTCCCTCTCCCGCCGTTCGCCGCCTCCTTTGCCGACCGCCACCGCCCCGCGCCGCCTTCCCCGCCTCCGCCTCCGCGCATCGCAACGCAACCTCAGGCGCAGAGGCGGCGACTTGACTCCCCCCCTCCCCGCCCTCTCGCTCTAGGGTTTCCTCCCTTCCCCGTCATCAGCCGCCACCCCACCCCCTCCCCCGCCGGGCTTCGCCATGTACGGTCACCGCGGGTAAGCCAAGCCCCTCCTCTTCTCTCTTATTCCTGATTAATCTCCGCAATTCCATCCCGCCGATTCATCCATTGCTTTCTTTTTTTCCTACAATACTTGCTTGCTTACGCGATCTCATCAATTTCTCGATTCTTTTAGGGATAATTTCTAAGTAGGTCACTTTGCTTTGCTACCATGATATGATATGATATCATCTGCCTAGGATTTAGGATACATGTACAGCTTCCCCCTTACAAGACCAAACCTCTCTCCCCCCAATAAATAAATAAATAAATCGGAGGCAGTAATACATCCAAATTGATGTTTCATCAACTGCACCAGCATCCCAACTGTGGTTTGTAAGATTCTTTTCTACTGATATGTGTCATCCAGTAGTTTGAGTATTTCTTCTATTCATATGCTGTCAACATTTAATTAGTTTTTGTTTATGTCCACTAATGCGTTCGCATTTCGACTCCATTCACCTTTTTAAGCCTTAAGTCATGTTTAGATTACTAGTATTTCTTATCTGTGCAGTTATCTTTATGTTTGGGTTATTTTATATGAAATGGGGATTGAGAGATGGGGGGATCGTCTCCTTTTTTTTTCTTTTCTCTTTTTGGGACTCTGGATTATCTGAAGGGCAATGATGGGAGGCGGGGGGGTTTCGGATGGGTACGAGGGATCAAAGAGGCCACGAATGATCGAATCCAATCCATACTTCGCAGTGACCGCAGGCAGTCCCTTGGATGTCTCAAAGAGGGCCAGGATGATGGAACCAGCCCCTCCCTATTTCGGAGCCATGGGCAGCAGCGCTGCTGGTGGCACCAGTGCCTTCTACCAGCCCTACGGCACCAACTTACCTGGTGCAGGGGCTAACAGTGCCATCCAGAACTTTCCAGGGGTCCGTCTACGAGGGCTCCCCTTTGACTGCGACGATCTTGACATCTGCAAGTTCTTTGTTGGGCTGGACATAGTGGACTGCCTCTTGGTTCACAAGAATGGCCGCTTCACCGGCGAGGCTTTTGTCGTATTCCCATCAGCCATGCAAGCAGAGTTTGCACTGCACCGCAACCGGCAGAACATGGGCAGGAGGTATGTTGAGGTGTTCAGATGCAAGAAGCAAGAGTACTACAGTGCAATAGCTGCTGAAGTGAACCAGGGCGGCTTCTTCGACTCGGAGTACCGTCACTCCCCACCTCCTCCACGGCCCAAGAAACCAGCTGAAGACAAGAGCAGCATGGAGTATACTGAGGTGCTCAAGCTCCGTGGCCTGCCCTACTCTGCTACCACTGAAGACATCATCAAGTTCTTTGTGGAGTACGAGCTGACGGACGAAAATGTGCACATCGTGTACCGTCCAGATGGTAAGGCCACTGGAGAAGCCTATGTGGAGTTCCCGACAGCAGAGGTTGTGAAGACAGCCATGTGCAAGGACAAGATGACCATTGGGACAAGGTACGTGGAGCTGTTCCCATCAACCCCAGAGGAGGCCAGCAGGGCGAAATCGCGAGTCAGGCAATGAATTATTTGATCCAGTCATCTACTTTGCCCTGGCCTTGAGCAGCTGTGTTCCAGTTTAGCTTTCGCCTTGCATGCTTAAACTGTATCCCTCGCCTTTAGGTTTGTGTGTGTGTGTTTTAGTATGCATCATGTTGCTACCGTGCCACAACCCGTTGGTGTGGTGACTTTATAAGAACCCGAATTGCATTTTTAAAAGAAGTGGTGGATTATGAGATGCCTGCACTTTAACAGCAGTTGCGCCTGGTTGGATGCATTTTATATGGCAATGGCATGATCATTGTTTTCCTTCTGAGTTTGCGACAGATGTTCTACTGTATCCCCTTCTTTTTGGTGAAGCAGGGGATGAAGCTCGCACTAACTCTGTTCCAAAAGTTGGTTGTTAATTAATATGAATATGCATAAACATAACGAGGTGTACATCAGTACATGCACGTTGCGGCCCATGGATTGTGTGTGCATCTGGGATACGGTTTTCCCGATTCCTATGATCTATCCAATATGCTAACTCTGAAACTCTAAGCTTCAGCTTAAAGAAAGCTGGGTGAGAAGATAGTAGTAGCTTTTTAATTCTGTTCACATCACTAATTGGGACTACCCCCGGACAACGATTGGTTAAGACCCTGTTTAGATGGGACTAAAACTTTTTAAGTCTCTATCACATCGGATTTTTGGACACTAATTATAAATATTAAACGTAGACTATTAATAAAACCCATTCATAATCTTGGACTAATTCGCGAGACGAATCTGTTGAGCCTAATTAATCCATGATTAGCCTATGTAATGCTACAATAAATATTCTCTAATTATGGATTAATTAGGTTTAAAAAATTTGTCTCATAAATTAGCTTTTATTTATATAATTAGTTTTATAAGTAGTCTATATTTAATACTCTAAATTAGTGTCTAAATACAGAGACTAAAGTTAAATCTCTGTATCCAAACACCACCTAATAGAAGCAATGTTTGTAACATACCAGCACCAGCAGCTGTGCAGTGTCAAATGCAGGATGGGCTGAGCAGACAGGAAAGATTTTGATTGTCAGTTGATGCTGGATGATTTCTTAATCAACACTTGGTTTGATGATCTGTACCGTTGACTTTGTAAACAAAATATCTATATTCTCATGTATGATAAGGCTGAGGTGCTTTGCAGACAAGCATTAATCAGCCATCAATCAGCCAGTGGAGAAGTTCCATGTAGTTTCAGGATTGGGACACCTCACAGAT